AAAAAAAAAAAAAAAAAAAAATGGAGAATGAAAAAAAGCTTACAAGAAAACCACATGCTATCATGGTAGCAATCCCTGCCCAAGGTCATCTGAACCCTTTTGTCCACTTAGCTCTCAAGCTTGCTTCTAAGGGCTTTACCGTCACTTTTGTTCAAATTAAATACGTACACGAACTCGTATCAAAATCCCACAACCGTAACGAAGACGATATTTTTGCCGAAGCGCGTGATTCGGGCCTCGACATACGTTACACGACGATAGGTGATGGCTTTCCCATTGAATTCGACAGGTTGCAAAATTACGTGGAGTATTGGGAGTATCTATTGAGCGGTTTCTCTTCTCTTGTCGATGAAGTTGTTGGAAAAATAATCGAGTCGTGTGATCGGTTTTCGTCACCATTGTTGGTCACCGATACCGTTTACGCGTGGCCGGGAGTAATTGCAAAGAAGTACGGCATAGTGAATGTCTCCTTCTGGACCGAGCCGGCCTTAGTGTTTGCTACCTGTTATTTTTGGGAGCTTCTAAGAGAAAACGGACATTTTCCACCTAAAGGTACGTGTTCTTGAATTTCTCTCCCTGGACTTTGTGTCTTGCTTTTAATGGGACTTTAAATTGTTTGAATTGTCTTCAATTTTTATTTTTTTTTTAAAATAGAAAATCATTTTACAATTAATATCGTGGAACAAAATCTAAGGGCGTGTTTGTATAATCGGTTCAGAATGAGTTTTTTTTTTGTTAATTGGAGTTAATTTTGAAAATAAAAAATGGCACGGTTATTTGTTAGTAGAATTTTGCTTTTATATAAAAATATTATTTAAAATAAAATAATTAAAGTTAATTAAGCTTAAAAGCAGAGAGAGATTGTGTGAAGTGATGGTTAGTTAAAATTATATGAATGAAAATAGCAATTTATTTGGGAACATTATTATTATTATTATTATTATTATTATTATTATTATTATTATTATTATTATTATTATTATTATTATTATTATTATTATTAGCGTGTCAATAACTAGATTATGAAATCATTAGTTAATGAATTCGATGATATTTTTATTTTTATTTTTTTTAGACAATCACGAACAAGACATAACTTACATTCCCGGCATCGAGTCGATCAACACCAAGGACTTGATATCGATTTATCACGAGGCCGACACCACTACAATCGTCCACAAAGTTCTTTTCAAGGCATTCGAAGAGGTTAAGAAGGCGGATTTCATCCTACACAACACGGTCCAAGAACTCGAATCCCACACCCTATCGACCCTCAACGAAAACCAACCGACATACGCGATAGGCCCGATCAGTTTCTCAACCGAGCTACCAAACATTAATATCCCCAAGAGCATGCACCCCGAAACCGAATGCAACCAATGGCTTGCCTCCAAGACTCGTAGCTCGGTTCTATACATCTCGTTCGGCAGTGCCGTCCACATCGATAAGCGTGTGATTGAGGAAATCGCTCGAGGGGTCATCACGAGTGGAGTGGATTTTATTTGGGCCATGAGACCAAAAATCCTAAGCTCGAATGATGAAACGCGCGTTCTACCAGTCGGGTTTGAGGATGAAGTTAAGGGCAGAGGGTTGATCGTGCCTTGGTGTAATCAAATGGCCGTGCTTTCACACGAGGCAGTCGGGGGGTTTCTGACGCACTGTGGGTGGAATTCGATACTCGAGAGCATATTTTGTGGTGTGCCGATGATTTGCTACCCGGTTTTGTACGACCAACCCACTAATCGAAAACTAGTGGTCGACGATTGGAAAATCGGGATCAATCTATGTGATGGAGGGGAACCGGTTAGAGGCGAAGGGGTTGGGGTTAAGATTAAGAAGTTGATGAGTGGGGAAACATCGAATTGTATGAGGAATGAGATGAAGAAGATTAGGAACATAATGCGTGGTGCTTTGGGTGAAAGTGGGTCTTCCAAGATAAATTTAGATCAATTTCTCAAGGATTTGGAAGAGAAAATGAATAACCGGAAAATGGGGATTAATATTAATTAATGCCTAGCAATATAATAAGATAAAAAGACTAAAAGTATCTATTATCAGTATGTATTGTGTTTTTTAGTTGTAGTACTTGTATGGAGAATAAAAATAGAAATAAAAAATGTTTTGCTTGTTATGTTAATTGTTATTGTAGTGTTGTATTATGAGGAATGAAAATAAACCCTATAATAGGGGCCAAATTGGAAGGAAAAAAAAGACAGTTCCAAGTAGGACAAAAGTGAATATTCGTTGGACCAAAAAGTGTAATACTTTAATTTTAAGGGATCAAACTTGAAAACACAACTTTCTCATTTAATTAACAATAATCACTAAAAATAATCAAGAATACTTATATTTTTCAGTTTTTTTTTTTTTTTTTTTTTT